TCCTACCCTCTACTCCGATAATCTTGGAGCTACGTATTTCTGTGCTAATTCCCGGTTTCACTCCCGAATGAAGCACTTAGCACTTGACTACCAGTTTGTTCGGCAGCTCGTTCAAGATCAACGCCTTGTCATTCGCTACATTCCTACCGCTCATCAGCTCGCCGACATTCTGACTAAGCCGCTTCCAGCTGCTCGCTTTCTTCTTCTACGGTCCAAGATCGGCGTCGTTGACACGACGTCCGTCTTGCGGGGGCGTATTAGCAATACATAATTATTTATTTATTTCTCCTCAACTTCCACTCTCTAATTCTGTTCCTACTTATGTGGATAGTGCTCAGCAGTCTGTTGCTAGCACTCCGACTCTGTCTCTCCAAACATGTAAATTAGTTACCTTGCTATTAATGAGAAGATCATCAAGGATTCTCTCCATTGGGCACCCCTCGAGACGCTAGAGCACATGTTTCTTTCTTGTACGGTTGCAACCACGTTGTGGGGCAGGTCGGGATTGGCTACTGGGCTGGTGGTACAACCTCCTCCAAACTTTGCCTTGTTTCTTCGACGATTTCTTGAGCATGATACCGGAGTTGAGCAGGTGGTGAGGTTTATTGCGATGCTTTGGTGGATCTGGAAGAGTCGGAATTGGAAGGTTTTTTACCACGTCCAGTATAGTGTGGAAAGGCTAGTGCGACAGTATGAAGAACAGGTTCGTGAATGGTTGGCGCTGATTGAGTCTGGGTAAGGCCGGCCCGGGCGGGGTCAGTAGCTTAGGGTGCGTGTGAGTGGATCTGATGGCTCAGGCGGCTCCTATGCCATTTCGATGCTATGTAGATGGCGCGGTCTTCAATGGTTCGCATGGTGCCGGGGTTTGGTGGTATGTGATGCGTTAGGGGGTATTTGTTATGTTCAAGGATTTTATTATGCAGGTTTGGTGGATCCATTTCTGGTGGAATTGGTGGCTTTTCAGGATGCGATTCAGTGGTGCTCTTTGAAGGGTCTTGCTGAAGTGCAATTCTGTGGGGATACGAAGATAGTTATCGAAAAAATTCAAAAGATGGATATACGAGATGTGAAGGGAGGGCGAATTTTTGAGGAGACTGCGATGATGCTACAGCATTACCGGTGTTTTGGGATGTATTTTGTTTTGGGACAATCGGGTGGTCATGATGTGGCTAGAAAGACCCTTTCTTTGTTGCCTGCTTCTGTAGATAGTTTTGATTTTGATCGTTGGTTTGCACTTGAGTTGTAAACTTTGCTAGCTTTTTGCCTTGGTAATGCAAGTGATCTATTGGTAAAAAAAAATACATCGCCATAAAAGGAATTAAGATTCAACTATGCAAATTATAGTTTGGTACCCAAACTTAAGAGAACTTTAGATTAATTACCAAAATTTATTTTTTGGCATATAAGTCATCAAAATATTGATGGAACATTACAGTTTAGTACCTAAAATTTTTGTGTATTAATTTTGGTAAGTAACTTTTTAAGTTCTACAAATTGGTCTAATTTTTGTATGTCTAATTAAAACACCCTCGAATAAATGAGTATCCAACTCATACACATTTAGATTAGGGAAGTAAATATTCATACGCTATCTAAACCCATCTACAAATTTCCAAATCCATATATACGTCACACATCCCCTACCCAAAATCAATGGGTCTACTTGTGTTTAGGTAAACATCATTTATTAGCCAAAAATTTCAAATTTTTTAAGTTGGATGTTGTCAGCCATATATATCTTCTCATTCAATATCATATTGTCAAGTCAATATTACTAACAAAACTGCTAACAAAAAATTAATTTCAGACTAATAATACTAACAAAACAGTAAACACCATAACGAGCCACATAATACATGCACATAAGCCATTAGCCATCTCCGCCCCGCAATGCACGACATCGCCACTTAGTAACTTATAATGACAAGTAGAATAGAAATGATGACTTTGGTCTTATAACCAAAGACTTATAACCATATAACACTAACATTAATGACATTCTTAGTTGACAATTATATTGATGTCCCGGACAGGCACACACTAAGACAACTATTTGTGAACTCCATGCCTGGTATGTTTGAACCTCGAAGAAGGGTAGTGCAAGAACACAAAGGTCTAGTAGGAAATAGTTTGTCACCCATGTCATCGATTTTGCTTAACTTGATCAGTACCATATAACTAGATAATTAGTTCGTGCTATGCAACAGGACGTTCAGATAGATAATTCGTGAATTTTTAATGCACTATAATTAATGAAAGATAAAACTTTTCAATGAATCTTGTTGGGATGATGAGTGATGACTTTGGACTTTATTATTAGTTATAACTTATAATGACAAGTAGAATATATAAGTGATGACATTGGACTTCAATTTCTTCTTTTATAATAAAATTTACCTTCAATTTATGAAAATGACCCATTCGTCAAAGACTTATATAAGCATATATATAAGTAGGGATGGCAATTTAGACCTGACCCGTTTTACCCGACCTGTTTGACCTGTTTTGGGGCGGGTCCGACCCGCCCCGTAGGTGGGGCGGGGCGGGCATGGGTACTCTCATAGACCCGACCTGCCCTGACCCGCCCCATTCTCGACCCGTTCTTGCCTAAATTACACTTAATTTTAGTCAAATTACTTAGGATTTTCCTTTTACTAAATCAAATTTTAGCTGCAATAAAGATGTAAACTAGTGAAAACCTCAATTTCTCCAATAATTTAACTATATTTATCATAATATTGTTTGTTTCCATGGTCTTATAATAAAAATAACGAACATTTCTAATATTTTTCATATAAATTGCTTACCCATTGGGTCGACCTGCCCCGACCCGTGATAAATTACCCGACCTGGACCCGACCTGCTACGGGGCGGGTCTGGGTACCAAGAAACCCGCCCCGGACCTGCCCCATTGCCATTCCTATATATAAGACTAACATTAATGATAGTCTTAGTTGACAATTTGTAGCCAATTGATAGTCTTATTAGTTGGTATTTTTCCACTGATAGATGTACCACACATGCAGAGACACTAGACAATCACACACTAAGTTTGGACTATGGACTATCCTGCATGCACTTGGCATCTCATATATTGAAAAAGAGGAAGATTCAAGAGTCTCATAGTATCAAGTTACTTATGTGACCCTAGCCCAAGGTTGCCAACTCGATTTGACGTATTGGTCCGGTCGAAAAAGTGGGTTGAGAGTTAATGGTCCTATCGTTTTAGTTCGAATATATGAAAAAATCATTATAATATTCATACATTTATAAAGTATATATAATCTCATCTAATATATGAGCAATAAATTCGAATGTTCACCTTCGAATTTCAAAAATAAGGTTAGGCGAAAAAAAAATTAAAAAAGGGGTGTACATTTCACAAATCAAAGGAACATCGTGTGATCTCGATCCAACCCCAAAAAAAAGCGCATATAATAATTTTTTTCTCAACCACTCAAATTACTGGAATAAAATGAATTATGATATGGTTGGGCGCATATTTTGAGCAGAGACACCATCTACAGCTACAAAAAAAAATTTGCCACTGACAGTGGATACTGACCTGGAGGCTGGAAGAGGAAGGAGCACATTACTGTTCCAAGACCTTTTTATTTATAAATAAATTTTGAATATTTAGCCATTTACATTTTCACCATAATAGGAAGACATGATTTGCCTAAACCTACATAGCCCACCTTCCCTCCACATGCTCTTCCATACCTGCAAATCAATACAAGACGAGACGCAGCACCTCAAAATTGAATTCACTCCACATGCAAAAACAAGCTCGATCGACTTGCACTTTCTGGTAGCTAGAGATTCTCCTTCTAGATGAATATTTCATGTATTTTGGGTACATGATAGACTCTAATTTTTGTATCATAGATAGACTCTAATTTTATAAACAACCATATATTTTGTACCCTAACTTGGATGTATCCAATAATTTAGTTTCTGAGAAAAAGCAAACCCATATTAGGGGAGCTTCCTTGTTTACATGTAATTTGTAGCTCAATTTTGCAAGTGTAATTTGTGTCGGTTAATTTTTATGATCGTTTGTCTTTTCATGAAAGTTATAAATGCGAATAACTAATTTTTTATGACCGACTCAAATAAAGAAGAAAAAAATTACGAGCTTCCCAAATGAGATGTCTAGACAACAATTCTGATAGTCTCCATCCTTTGTTCTCATGTATTCGAATGACAAAAGCGTTTAACCTCTCCGTCCAAGTCCGCTAACTTCGTCATACTATTAACTATACCGCCACCACAAGCTGCTGCGCAATCCCTCATAGGCGATTCACTGTGATGGGTGTCTTTGAACTACCCCCAGAAGGCGGAATATGGTGTTGCTTTGCTCAATAACCATGGTCAAGGCTGGGTTTGGGCGAGCTGAAGCTCTGTTGTATCTCAGTCCGTTTGATGCGATTACATTGGCTGCTTGATCCTCTGTTTTCGGCTCTTGAAAAGGGTCCCCTGTCTTCCTGTTCACGTTGTATCGCGTTCTGTTTGCTTTTGGGCTTTTTCTCTTCATTTTCGGTGTTACTGGTTGATTGGGCTTTCTTTCTTGTAGTTGATTTTCAGGGTGTATCCGTTTCTTTTGTAACCGATTTTCTTTCGGAGTGAAATATAAGTAACCTCTTTGTAAAAAAAAAAAAAAAAAACAGCTGCTGCGATTTAACACGTCCAACGGGTTGATTGAGCAGGATTTCCTACACCTAAAAGCTATAGGTCCAGCTCCTATCGAACTCCGTGAAATCAAAAGATCGAGTTCAGACGGCTTTGACTTCGGTTTCATAATAAAGAGGCTATATATTACTCGTGAATTAAAAAAAAACGCCTCTTTGACTTCCTCAATTGAACAACCTCAGCTCCAAGCCAGGTCAAATTAAATTGCAGCATCATCCGTGGCGTTGACTTTTCAACCACCAGAAAACCAGGGGGGGATAAGAACACAACTACAGGTAGCTCTAGTAAGAGATTGAAGGCACTCATGGGGCAAAAGGGAAATTTTACATAATATATAATAACACTTGGAGAGGGTACCCAAATTTGAAGTACATATACATTTCCGTCCTTAATACATAATTAATAATTAATTTACACTTCTTTCTTCTTCATCTTCTTCTTCATCTTCCAAACTGAGTAATTAAGCCTAGTAGGGTAATAAGTAATAGCTGAATAGCTATTACTTATTTAACTACTACTACTACTAATTAAACTGGATTAACAAGGCGACCTACAAATTGAACTACCCACAACAAAGACTAAACCCCATAACAAAGTACAGAATTAACGACGACGGTAAGTAATTAAGTAAAAATATGATACGTTTCCCCCCCCCCCCCCCTCACTTCAGTTCAAAACAACCCGGAAGCTGCAACGGCGCCGTCCAGCGTCGCCATGTTCATTAGGTCGTCCTCGCCGGCGCCACAGTGAACGGCGGCAGAGGAAGAAGTCGTTGTTGTAGTCGCCGTAGTAGCAGTAAGAATACTCTCATCGAATAGCCATTTCTCCAGCAGCGAAAGCGGCGGCGGCGGCTTGCTCTCGTCCTGGAAAAGATTCGCCGCCGTGTCCATCGCCTCGTCCGCCGACTGCGACCCGCCGTCCGACGGCGACGAGTTGAACCCGAACAGCGACTCGAAATTGTTGTTGTTGCTCGAGCTGGAATTCGCCACCGCGGTGGCGGAGCTCTGAGTGGTGTCGGAGCGCGCCGCCGCCGCCGGCTTCTTCACCATCCAGTTCTGCAGCAGCCTGGCGATGTTGTCCGCGCTCGACGCGTAGTTATTCGAGTTGTTGCTCGTAGTACTCGCCGACACCGGCGGCGAAGACGGCGGCGGCTGGTGGTGGAGATCGAAGGGCTTGGATTCATCGAGGGAGAGGGCGTCGCAGAGGGCCTGCTTGGCGAGGCCGATGTCGGTCTGGAGCCGCCGCTCCCACTGGCCTTTGTGGGAGGAAGCCGCGGGTGGCGGCGGAGAGTTGGAGGGGGAAGAAAGGGTTCCGTCTCCGCCGCCGCCGCCGGCGACGAGTTGTTGTTGCTGTTGCTTGTGGAGTTTTTTCTTGAGATGGGTGTTCCAGTAGTTTTTGATGTCGTTGTCGGTTCTCTGGGGGAGGTAGGAGGCGATGGCCGCCCACCTGTTGCCGAGGAGGGCTTGCAGGTGGACGATCATCTTCTCCTCCTGCGGGGTGAAATTCCCCCGCTTTATCCCGGGGCGGAGATAGTTCGTCCACCGCAGCCGGCAGCTCTTGCTACACCTCAGCAAACCTTTAAAAGAAGGGGAAAAAAAACATCATTTAAATTTACGGAGGTGATGGAGTGTACGACAGGTAGATAAGAGTTTTCAGAAAAACGGTGTATTTTGTACTGAGATCACGGTTTCACTGCACAAGAGGGTGCAGTATTTTCATTAAATTGTTACAGCGCGTAAACCAGAGAAAAAAGCTCACTGCTAGTAGCACAGGCAGGCAGCAGAGCTTTTAATGATGAAAAAAAAATGAGAGAGTAGAGAAATCATAGGATTCCCGAGGGGAAGGAGAAATTAAATTGGGACGGAAAGTGATGAGATTAATAAACCCAGGAAGAGTTTTAGCAAGATTAATTAGGGTTTTTTATGATAGAATTGTGGAAAAAAAGGTGATTAGGGTTACGAACCAGTATTGGTAGGAACGGATCGCCAATTGCCAGGGCCGTGATCCTGAATGTAAGAGACCAAGATGATGTCTTCCTCGGGAGTCCATGGCCCTTTCTTCACACCTACTTTGTCGCAGCAAGGTGGTCTCCCCATCGAGATTTTCTTTCCTTTCCTTTCTTGATCCGGCTACGTCGAATACTTAATTAATTATATCTTCAAGAAGAAGAGGAAGGAAATGGTGATACTGGAACATGAACCAGTGGTTGCAGTCGAAACAAAGGTGGAGCTTAATTTGCTTTGAGGGTATGAGGAGGAAGAAATGAAGGGTAAGGAGAGAGTTCGAGAGCTATAGAGAGAGAGAGAGAGACAAGCGTCAAAGGGTTCTTTGGCCTTGTGGCTATGGAGTCTCACTCACGTATATTTATAGACCTAAAAAAGATAAACGAAACAAGTGGGAATCGGAAGGAGGAGGAGGCCAGATCAAAGAGGATGAAGAGACGCTAAAAACAAAAACAAAAATACATAGAGTAATAAAAAAAATTTTATACTGATATAATATTTAAATAAAATCCCATGGGTTTGGGTTAAGGGGTTAACGCCGACCGAAAGGGTTTTGTGAAGTAATGAATGGATCTTTTTTTCTTTTTTTACTCTTTGATTTTATTAGGTTTGTAATAAGCTCCAAAAAGAGAGTCAAAACGGACAGCAAAGGGCATTTACTCCATTTTGTTGCCGAAAAAGTCAGCTGTATGCTTTGACCCCACCCCCCAGCCTCCGATCCCATATCCTTCTCTTCTCTTCTCCCTCCGTTTCACATTACCGTGTGGCATTCATTAGGCCCATCATGGGAGGGAGGGAGCACCACTCTCTCTCTAGCTCTCTCTTAAGATCAAGTAATTAGGAGAAACCTCACACCTATTATGGATCTTTTTACCTGACCGAAGATTGTTTATGTAAAGCACGAAATCAGGATTTACAACGACGATGACGGTAAACAAAAAAAAAAAAAATTACAGCGAGAATAACCTAAAATTAAAGTACGATATTGTAGCTCTTCTCATTAACTTTATGCAGCTCTATCATCGTCTCGAATTATTCAATTATGTAGTTATGTACCGTTATGAGCGACGAGTACTCTCAATTATACCCAAATGCATTAAAGATAAGTATAATTATTAACTGCACATATGCAGGGTGGATAGACACGAGTTTAGAATAATAATAATAATAAAAATCATATTATACTAAGAATAAGTTTCATGAGTAGGATTTAGGGCAATAATTCATATGGGATCGTTGAAATTAGTGTAATCAAGTAGCCAGTCTGATGAGGACTGGTTATAGTAGCAATGCACTGCAACTAGATTTTTTCCGAGGAATTGAAGTTGATTCAGACGACTTTGTTTATGGCAGGTTTCTAGTTAGTTTCACCCTCCACTAAATATACTGAGACAGAAACAATTGAAAAAGTGACTGCTCAGAGAGGATCCAAACTGAGTAAAATTTATTGATGCACCTCTGTACATTTCAAAAAAGAAAAAAAAAATTACTGGAAAAAGCAACCCTAGGGCATTTAATGTTATTGCCGTTTTGGATTCTGCATATATGGCAATGGCATTGATCATGCTTGTACCAGTTTTAAAAAGTTGGGAGTCATTAACCAGACCCAAAAGGCAAAACCCTCCAACCCCAAAGTGTGTTTCTAAAAAGCTTCTTGGACTTGTGCATAAATAAGGCTGTTTTCCATGATCCATTTATATACTCCCTAACCAGCTATACATCCTTAGACATGGACTGGCCAATGGTAAAGTAGTTTGTTCTCGATCGGACCGAATCACAAAATATTGTATATTCATGTATAATTGAATGGGTTGGATAGTTAGAAAATCATACCCCTCTGTGATATTGATACTATGTCGTTAAAGAAAAAAAATATACCTTTACTTTCCGATAAATTCACATATCATGTTCAACATATTATCCTTAAATAACCTATTTACAGCAATGGAAATTTATATCAGAGGTATGTACCCAAAGGGGCTTACAGCAATGGAAATGATATAAGATTCATGCTTCCAATTCTCCCAAATATTTCTAGCTACTGAGACAAAATAGGTTTTCGACATGTTATTAAAATCTTAATTTGGATCCAGATTCTTATTTGAATTGTTTTTTCACATCATTATCAACCGTTAATTTAAGTAGATATAGTACGACAGGAATTCATACAAACTTTGAATCCATAATCTGACTTTTTCTTTAACGAATTGAATAATATGATTCACATAGTACTTGATCCTCTTCGAATAATTATGAGTTTTTCTCGAACGAAATTATCATGAAATATTAAAATAGTTATCTTTCAGACCTAATATACATCCTTTCTGTGGCTATACCTTTTTCTCCATGTACATACTCGTGATGGGTATTCTCTTTTATATCTGAATCTGAGCAACTTCACCATCTTCTTCTTCTTCTCTCCATCATGGGAAACGATACCTGGCCTTTCAGAAGAAGGGAGCCCAGCCCTAAAGATGGGAAACAACAACAATGGAATTAAATTAAAAGTATAGTCATCCAACACGTGTTGCCATCACAAGGGTTGACATTGCCAGATGTACGATCAGGATTTGCTTTGCTGGGTTTTGATAATATTTATATTTAAGGTTCGCTTAATTATTTATGGGCAAAGCAAGCCGCCCGGCCCACTCTTTTAAATGCTAATGCTGTGCTCTACCAACTTGAATGAAAGCTCATCAACATGGTGGCAATTAAAAATACCCCAAACAATTAAATTGCTTGCTTAAAATTTTGTCTTCACTTATTAATTGCCAGATTTGAAAAATTCATGTAGCAAATATTTAGGTGTCCCCCTTAATCAACCTGTTTTACAGCTATTTCTTTGTCAAGCAATTATCTTTTGAGTACCCTGAATTTCAATTGATTGATTATATTTTATGCTGAACTATTAAGTGGGTGTAAGATATGTTAGAGGAGTATATATCTTGGAAATTTATTATACTTATGATTAAACATATTAATCTAATATTAATATAAGAATGATATAATTCAACGAAAAAAAAAAGGATGATATATAACATATACCACACTCTAGACTCAAAGTTTAAGCTAATTATAAGCCGATATTATTACGATTTCGAAAACAATCGAAGTTGGAGAGACCTTCTCATTAGTAATGCTCTCTTTTTTGTTAATTAGTGTATTTTCTTTATATTACTACATTTTTTTTTTTACAAAAAAGGAGAAATAAAATACTATCATTTATATTCAATTAGTTTTTACTATGTTCAATTAACCATAATTTTTTTTTTTTTTACATAGTTTATCTTACATTCACCGATACTCATCATTCGCTTACTTTTTTCCCTGGTGTCATCATCTTTAATCTTCTAGTTGTGTCCACACTGCACCGCCTGAATGGTATCTTCTCTTCTCTTCTCTTCTCCGAACGGCTGAAATGCATTGCACAATGTACAGTCGCACATGTACCGCATCCGCCAAACACGCTGAAGATAAAATTGGATATATACAAATAGTACATTTAAGATACAACAGCTTACGTTGGTTTGAGTTCAACATATCACTTCTTGCGTTATGAAAGTTTTTACTAAGGACTTGCAATCCACTAAATAGTGGTCTTAACGAATTACAACTTGAAAAATGTATGATGAGTGAGATCTTTTAAAGTGGGTAGCCAAAAATAAAAAAAAAAAGAATGGCAAGGGAAGAAGAAGAAGAAGAAGAAGAGGAGATGGAGATGGAGGTGTTCTGAAAGCACATTCGGTGAACTGATCCATGCTGAAGAAGATGTCCAAGTTATGGGCCTCTCATCAGTCTCATATAATTCCTCTTCCCATCTCTACCATCAATCCTCAAACCAAAAAATGGGAATAAAAATAAAAACGTTTTATCATTTGAGTTTATTTTACCTATGCACGTTTAACTAAGAGATAGCTTGTATTAGAAATATAAAAAAAAAATATACGGTTACAACGGTTATAAAGTACATGAAATATCATAAAAAAAGTATGCAACAATTATTGAATATCCTGAAATAATGATTTTTTTTTCTCTGTATATTTAATTTATTACAAGGGTGATAAAAAAATTACTTTTTGTTGTTAGGTGCTATTGAAAAAATTTGAACATGTGACCTCCAGATTCTAGACCAAATCTTTGTTCGCTAATATGCATGATTAAACACTAACGCAATATATATGTGCTAAATTCTGATCCTGTCAAACTCGATCCATTGATCTGTTCATCTCAAAGACTAGAAGCATGCAGTGATTGTATCTTTGTACAATATACAGGGCGAGTGTCAAGATCAAAACAATTGAGCTGTCATTTTAAATGACTTGTTATTGACCTTAGTTTAATTGGCTGTATCATCATCAGCATAATATTTGCAATTAATTTCGGTAGCTGGGCTAGCTTCCTTCTTTCACTATGTATTTGATTGAGTAAGAAATAAAGAAGAAGCAGAATCTAGCAAATGAACTCAGGAACCAATAAGGGTAGTACAGAAATATTCACATGTTATCCATTGACTACGCCTTTCAGCCGATTAATCCCACTTAGCAAGCAAATCTATATATCAATACGTTAATTAAGGTGCGGCTTCATTCCCCGTATCCTACCAAACAGAAGCACACTGACTGTAATATGTGAAGGTTTCAAAGGAAGTTGAATTGGTGTCGCTACGAATAAGTCATTTTACGTACGTATTGTCAAACTTGCAAGAAAACATAAAGAACACCGAGTTTTTTAACGTGGTTTCGTCAATATGACACTAGTCCACGGTGAGGATCTCCCTCACAGGTTTTAGTATTATGTTACTTGGTACTCTTCACCAGTTACATGAGTACATATATATAGGCTTTTTAACCTAAACACAGCCGACTATGCCCTAGGTTAATTACATAATGATACATATAATTAACACCCTCCCTCAAATTGATGTCGTGTGATTAACATCAATTTGCAAGATAAATACCAATGTCGGCTGGATGCCACAGCCTTTGTTAACAAGTCAACAGTCTGATCTTCAGTCGACAAATGACTCAGCTGTATCCTCCCTTCTGCAACTAGCTGTCGAATGTAGTGTACGTGAACCTCTATGTGCTTTTTCCTATCATGAAGCACGAGATTGATTGCTAACTGAATAGCACTGGTATTGTCTCCATAGATACGCATCAGAACCTGACACTCGACTCCTAGCTCATTCAGCAAGCGCTCTAACCAAACTATTTCAGAACTCAACTCCGACATAGAACGATATTCAGCCTCAGTCGAAGATTTCGACACCTTATCCTGTTTACGACATCTCCATTAGATAAACGAGTGACCGAGTCTCACACACCATCCAGAAGTGGATCGTCGAGTA